TCAATTCCAATGGAGCAGATGGGAATACGACGATCAGAGATACGGGATAGGACCCGAAGATACAAATCAGTTTGATAGATCCATAAAGAGTCTGATAGGAAGATGGATAATTCAACTGATCATAAAAGATGGAGAGAAGAACAAGTCTCCAATGGAGTTGCCAGAAAAAAAAGAACTTGGTGGGATTTTTTTTTACTCACCATAACTTTTTGAGAGACTTTTTATCTAAATGACCTGGTACGACATTTCAAAGAACAATATATCTTCTCGAATAAAGAAAAAAATTATCTTAAAATGGGTCTGACTGTGCGGATGGAGAATGCCTTCTTCAGTCTACAGAGCTAGGTTTTTCTTTTTACTCTTACCTCACGGGTGTAAGACAAGGCTTATTTTAATTATGGGGTCTCGTTATTTACAAAGGCAAACCCTCGTAGTTAATTGCATATTTAGAGTCGTGAGCCCTAAAGAAAACTCTCAATTAATGTGATGAGTCTGATTATCAGAGATCGAACTTTCATAATTGAAGTGATTAAAAGTAGATGGTCCAAATTGAAAAAATTAAGCTAAAGAAATGAGACTTACAGTCTGATGACAATGTTCCATAAGAAAGACCCCAGAGAGATTTGAAAGGATCTAATAATGAGTTTGAATTGATAAGGTCAATTTAAAAGATAAATCACAGATACTGGATTTGACTGACCGAAATGGTTGGAAACCCTAAGCTAAGGATAGATTTAGGTAAGAAAAGATTCCTAGATGAGGAGTGAAACCCTAAACTCTATAAGGAATTCTATGGGCGGACTAACCTAGGCTTTGGAAATAGCATCCCTAGTCAAGATGCTCATGGCCTTCTGTCTTCTCGGGAATATTGGTATACGTCGACCATCACTAGCTTCATAACCAAGAATCCCCTTTGAATGAGTAGCATAAGGCTTCATAGTTTCGAAGTAGTCTGAAATACCTTCGTCAGTAACCATGGGTTACTTCATTCCAAGTATTCCCCCTAGTCTTAGCAGGTAAGTTTGTTGTTTTACATTTCATAGTCCTTAACACTAACTAAGGTACCTCGACTAACCTAGGCTTCTATACTTAAACTAACCTGGGTTGTATGGCCATCGGTTTAGTGCCTAAGTTAGCTAACATAAGGTCTGTGTCAAATCTATCTAGGTTATGTTCTCATTCTTTATTTGAAGTTCACATTTTAATTTTTTCTTGTTTTAATTCCTATGTTTGAAACATAAAATAACACACATACTTAGTTTTGAATTAGACTTGGGCTAGGGTTGGACTGAGGTGAGTTAAATTTCTAACTTAGGTTAACTCAAGATTGAGCTAAGGTATCATATAAATCCATTGATTTAGGTCTAGATTAAACTTAAGCTAGCTTGACTTGACTCGGGTTTAATTTGGGTTAACCGGATTGAGCTCGGTTTCATTAAGGGTGACCCGAGTTAAGCTGGGTTGACTGGGTTTGGATTGTTTTTGGTTCAGGTCTGGGTTGGGTTGGGTCGGGTTTGGGTTGAGTCTGGGTTAGGTTTAGGGTTTGACTACAACTTGGGGGTTAGGATTAGATTGGGTTCGAGTCAGGTCTAGGTTGGGGCATACCTATGTTAGGCTTAGGGTTTGACTACAACTTGGGGTTAGGGTTAGGCTGGGTTCGCGTCGACCTGAGTCGAGCTGAAACACAAATCTAATTCAAGGCTATTGAGTTTATTAATCTAGCCTAAAATCAACTTAAGACTTACGAATTAAAATACTTAAATTAAAAAGAAACTAAGCAAAAAGCTTACCGAAAGAAGGAGGATGATCGGAGGAGGCTTGCCGGAGAAATGTTCTTCTTTCTCTATCTAAATTGTCTGAGGTAAGTGTCGAAGAGTTGGGATGTCCCAGAGAGTGTCGAAGACCGTCTATTTATAGACTGGGAAAGAGGTGGTGGAGCCCCTTGTAGCCATTCGATTAGGTGGCGGGTCGACAACCATGATGAATCAGACAGTTAAAGAGTTACGGATCGCCTCCAACGAAACAGTTCGACGGTTCATGCTTTGATACGTGGACAAAGGCCACAAATTGATGGTGTGTCACGCGAAGTGGTCACTTCAATTATACATGGGCGTGGTCACACCCAAGCTTGGCATGACCATGCTGAGAAACTTCCGAGGCACTTTTGGGAGTGGTCACGCCCAGGCCTGGAGCGGTCACGTCAGGCCAAAAAAGAGCAAATTCGGTTTTTGGCCAATCTGACTGCACCAGACCAGAGGAAAATGTTTGTGCAAGTCCTATGTGACCAAAAATTAGGTCAACATACACATTGTTCTCAAGATGAGAAAAAATGAGTGCTCCTCCCCCCAGCTGTCTCTATTTCTTCATTCTCTACCTCTTCGTCAAGCATTATGAGAACTTGTAATTTTCAATTCTTGCAACGATGTCCTGAGGTAAATATCTTATCACACTGAAAATATAAATAATTAGCTCGCATCTTCTGAATCTCTGTCTCTGTAAAGCACTTGAGTGTTGTCCATTATTCGTGTCATGTGCAGCCTCCCTCTAAAATTCCACTGTTTGAGCTTTTGGTATCGTCATGGTTGTAGCAATTCAGTACGGTGTTCCATCTATGTCGCCCCCCAGGCCTTCTTCATCTAATTCTTGTTCTCTACCATCTAAGCTAGCTCCATCGTCTCTCTCAATCCTCGCGGTCTCAATAGTAGGAGTGATGCTCATATGTTGGGCTTTAGGTACTTAATGAAATTTTCCTCCAATCCTGCTTCGAAAAACCCCCTCAGTCGTCATGTCAATAGCTCAAATCACTCAATGTATTCCATGACAATCCCCTCCTGAGTCAAGGCATAGAATTGCTTGGGAACGTTCCAACAAACAATCTTGGAATTGCTCCCACGAATGGATTGAGTATCTAGCCTCCCCCACTGAAACCAGGCTAGAGCTTTCCCTTCCAAACACAACCCTGCCGCCATGAGTCTCCATCCCCATCTAGCCCATTCACCGTGAAGTATCGCTCAGCCCAATACCCTCACCCATGCGTGTCTTCCCCCTCAATGATCGGCATCTTTAACTTCCTAACTCTAACATCTCCACCCCAACTTCCTATTTTTTCATTGTTTCCCCCAATAATCGAGGGTGAAGCTCCCTCCTTCAATCCTAGCCATATCCCCTCCCTGCTTCTCTCATTTCTTTTCTGTGCACTTCCACACCCCTTTGCATAATCTCTTCACAATGTTTCAGCCCAACTGCCTCCATCAAAAATCTTTCCCCCAATTGGAGCCCTAGGAGGATGTTCTTGAAGGTGAATGCTTTCCTCCTCATATTCCTCTCGCCCGATCCCTTTTCCTTTTGATTTAGCCAATGAATATCCAGTCAACCTTTGGTTAAGGTTTGCAAGTTGAACTGCCTGCAGGTCTTGGATTGCATTTCAATAAGCTTCATCATCATCTCCTCTAAGCTCTTGAATCAATTGTCAATGGCAAAAAATCTTTCCTCTATACCAAATTTATGTTGCCTCATTTCTTCCTCCAATTTCTTATACAAATCATTTATTTTCTTAGCAGCCATTACGCCCAAGAAAATTTTCAATCACAAAAGCAAAAAAAAAAGTACCATAAAATCCCGTCGTAGGCTCGGCTAGCTGGCACGGTTCAGTCAAGAGTAGCACCTCATATGCTGCAATCTCGTCTGTTTCCTCAAATCGTGACAATATGAAGAGATTTGAATAAGATAGATGAAGAACTGTATGCAATGATTCAGTTGGATTGCAACAAGCTCGAGCCTCGATTGAATTGAATGCAAGATGTGACCTCGTCGGCTGCCCAGCAAGCTCAACTCGCGCGGATCGAGACACAATTAAAGCTTGTGGGTCTATGTTCGTCATGATCCCTAGCGCTTCCCGTTTTGTGGGGTCTTGGAGCATTGTACGCCGCGATCCACAACAAGCTCAACTCGTGATTGTATCGTGCTAGTGTAATCCACGATCCTGTCGGTCCAAGAGACGGTAAACACAATCCCTTCATTGGCTTCCCCTAGGTGATCGATCTTTGTACACCGTAAACCTTCACATCATCTCTAATACACAAGGTTCAGTCACGAAGCGTGGTGATCTCCCAAAATCGTCACTATGATACCAATTTGATATGATCCGCCCTCAAAATCGACACGCTTTTCCACAAAAATTATGGCAAACATAATATTTCTTCAATAAATTAGACAACTCAACAAAACTATAAAGATAAACACCTATAATTTGAGAGGTAGGCGGTCTCTTCCAATCCCTACAATTCGAGAGGTAGAAAATCTCTCCCAAACCCTAGAAGTAAGACTAATAACTCAATCTCATACATAAACATAACCCTAGATATAAAAAGTCTATTAGTACCCAACAACACTAATAATAAAAGACTAAATTGCCATTAGGCGTACAAAAGACCAATTTGCTCTTAGGGTCAGCGCCAACATAATAACATACCACACAATACATATCTATTTACATATAACACCCAAAATTGATGTATACACTTATAATACCTTCGTGTCATAAGCCTATGCATGAATAACACGTGTACTTCATTTTTAAAAATGCTTTGATGGTGGTTTTTTTTGTGTTAGACACGTAAAAACATAAGACTTGTGTGGTATGTATGTAAATGCCCCTAAAATTTAAACTATAATAATTACCCACAGCACAAAGGTAAAACAGACCCTGTATCAACCCATTAGGACCTTTGGAAGATAAAGAAAAAAGTGAAAATAATACCAAAACAGAACACAAGGAATGCAGAAGCCAAAAAATACTAAAATATAAGTACCTACCAAAGCATAACAAAAGGCTTAACATATCCCACATCATTGTGAAAGAGAACAAAAAAATATGACGCCAAAAAACAATGCACTTATATATCAACCTCAAAACTTAAGAAACGCTTGTTCGCAACAATTCAGGAAATATAAATAACAAAAATAAATAAATGAATTGATTCGGATGAAAGGACAGTTACCTGCCAAAAGAAATTCCCCGGAAGGATGAAAAGATACAGATCTCACATTATGAGTATCCTGCATGAATTTGAGGTAAAACCTAGTGAATTCAAAACTAATTCGAAGTATTGAAAACTACTGCAAAGCATGCATACCGCACGATTCCTATGCATTTGCAAATCTAACACCTGAACTTTACTTATTACATTTATACCACGATTTCTTTCATATCACATAAACAATATCACCATTTTAAGTTCTAAAAGGTGAAAAACACTTTTTCATGCATAGATAAGATCGCATGTAGGTAAAAATTGAAGTTTAGCTGTTAGATATGTAAATAAATAAGAATTTAGTAAATATGAAAATTTTCCTTTTTTTTTTTTCTTTCCAAAGGAACTTGAACATTACTTCGTATGTAAGATAAGATGGAGAGCAGAGTAGAAGAGGTGAGAAAAGTACCTGAATGACCCTAAATGCTTTCCTTGCAACCGTTTTTGAAAAATCAAAAAACCTGAAAACATGTAAGAGAACATTGTATGAAGTGCCGCCAATAGAGCTGACACAAATAAGAAGCAAGAGGAACTAATGTTCAGATTTTTCGAAATAATATCACAATACTAACTTCTTAGTTAGACATAATGAATTGAAATGTCCTGCACGAATACTTCGACTATTGTTCTTAAATTCACAGATTAAAAATTTCCAAACAAACAATTAATGAATCATTTTATTGGACTTTCCCAAGTACAAACAAAAGTGAAAAAAAAAAGACTATAAGCATTCCATAGAATACATTAAGAAGTACGCTAAATATCAAGGCAAAAACTTGACACTTGGCTACATGGAAGCCATGCAATACTTTAAGGTTATTGATGCATTATCAACAAGAAATAACAACACAAAATGGTACGAACACAATTAAATTTGATGTTTATATTATTTGAATGACAATGATTGCAAGCATCCCGTCAGATTGAAGTGTTAAGCCAGCAAGCGAAACCAAAAATACCAATACAGATAATACAGCAACAACAACAAACCTTTATCCCAAAAATACCATAACAAATAAACTGTCATAATTTTTTATTAAAAAAAAAAAGGAAAAAAAAAGAAGGATTGTGCTTCATTTGAGATGACGAGCTAGACACATCGGCTATTTTAGTCCCGGAGTATATAAAAGTGTCAATTTAGTCAGGCTCTTTTAACGGGGCTAAATAGTCCATTTTGGGACTATTTTAGTTCATATTAAAAGATTACGGGGACTAATTTGACACTTTTATAAACTCCGGAACTAAAATGGCTCATTGCAAAGAGTCGGGGACTATTTTGACACTTCTATAATAAAAGTACCTCAAATTTTGTTCACCCTCTCAAAGCACTTGTACAAATCCTAAAGGTCATGAGTGATTTGCACCTTATGCTAGCATGCAAATATCACACAAAAAGTAAGTTTTAACTATAGAAAAATATGAGACAATGAATAGTTGTGAGAAAAGGTGATGAACAAATTAATCCCACTAAATCAACTAAAGGGATTTCAAGGAACCATCTCTTTATTATTCAAACTAAAAAGCGAAGTTCATATATAAAACAGCGAAACTTGACAAGTTTGTAAATCCAACTTCTCTTGTCAGTAAAGTCAAATAAAGTTAAATAATAATAATTATACAATATATTAGAATGCAAAGACCTGGGCATTGAACAAAGTTTTCTGAGATGGATAAGTTTGTGAGTTCATATTCATACTACAGTATTGCTGCTACGAAAAATCATTCCTGAACAGGAAAAAAAAAGTTCTGAATACAATGCCATGTAATCTCCACTAATGTAACCTTAGGATTTAAAAAATTTGGGCGTAGTAGGCAATGAAACGATTCATGCGCTCTAATGAGATTCATTCAAACTTAAATTCCCAAGCAAATATGATCAAGTATATGAAATGAGTGCCAGGAAAAGAATTGGCTTGACTAATGTTTAAGTTGCTCTTACAAACCAAGCCGATTTTCCATAGAAGTTGGGGCAAATAAATATTTTCTTTAATAACACAAAACAACACAATTAAAATACATAAGATAAGCACCTACAATTTGAAAGGTGGGCGATCTCTCCCTCACACCTACAATTCGAGAGGTAGGCGATCTCTCCCAAACCCTAACCCTAAGACTCAAGACAACAATCTCATAGCATTCCCTAACTAAACATATTAGCCTTATTTATACTCCAAAATAATAACTAATAAAAAAACTAAATTGCTCCTAGGCGTCTGTCTAACATTACTTCCTTCCAAAAAAGACACATTTTCCTCAAGGTGGAAAAAAAAAGAAATTATTGTTGGGTCAAGTTGTATGGCTCCCACATTGTGTCATCATCTGACGATCTATTTCATTCAATCAAAATGTCTTGGTGACCCTCATAAGTTAGAATTATCGTCCTGTGCACATCCTTCAGTGGTATCCAAACTGTTGGTACCTTTCTTTCAGTCAATTCGGGAGGATACTACAACCCCAAACAACTTGTCAAGTAGCTCATCAGTCATCGAGATGGAAATTTATCAAATATTATTTCTTTATTCACTGTCTGATAATCCACACAAAAACACCAACTACAATCCTTCTTCTGAAAGAGTAAGAAGGGGCTCACACTATTCTAGATGATCCCGACCTCAAACATCTCTCGGATCAATTTCTCAATCTCGGCCTTTGTACCTACGGGTAGTAGAATGAGCGCACATTAATGAGAGAAACCTCTGATCTTAGGATTATTGTACGCTCGAGTTAGCTCCCTGCTCCTTTGCTAGATCCCGTCTGCATCTGTTCGTCCCGCCATTGAGGTGTTATATTATTCCTTTCAAGTGTTGTCGCTCGAGTCTACTCCTGATTTCTACACTCGATCTTTTGGCCGCAAATCCACCTTAAGCAGTGATGATGCCCTGATGCAACAAGAATCCTCTTATTGTTGCAACTCGCATCCACTCCAGCACTGCTGCTCAACTTCGAGGCAGGTGGAGTCCATTTTGTGTGAAACATCATGATCTTCTTCATTATTTCTTCTAAGGTCGTGAATATATCATCCATGGAAGAGAGACACACGTCCACCCATGATTTCATTTGCCTCGCACTTTTCTTTAATTTCACCTTCAAGGCATCCACTTTCTTAACCGTCATTACTCTCGAGATAAAAAAGAAGGCAAAACTCTTGTACGCTTCAATCCCAATGTTGGCAAAAGGGATTGTTCGGTCACGAAGGTGTCCCATGTACACTATGATCTTGCTAGGCTTCCCAGCTAGTTAGAACCGCGATCATTCCTCTATAGCTCCGATTCTGCTTCCCCTTGGCGTCCCAAAACGGGTCACAATTTGAGGGAAATCAAGAAGGAAATTCGAACAGATAACAGCTCATCACAAGGAGCCAACGAGATAAAATCCATGGTTATGACAGTAGAGGGCAAATTCATTAGCACTCCACTGAAGGAGTTTCTAGAGGCTTCGCTCGAGAGGATGGCACCCCTGAACAAACACATCGAAGGAATTTAATCGCCGCAAGCACAGAATACTTGACCAGCTAGAGAAGAGACAAACAAGGGAATCAGTTACGAAGCATGTTCCAGCTATCCCAGGGGATGAGATGTTCGAGCAATCAGTAGGGGATGTTTTACCCCAGTTTGCAATAAGACAGTTAGCGTCAGATTCCATCAAAGGCCATGCTCTCCCTGTATACGGATCTCTACACTGAATAGGCAATTTAGAAAGTTCTCCCAGCAGTACAGAAGGATGAGGAACATCCGGACGCGGAGTCATATGTTCCGCAGTTTATCGAGTCGAGACAATTACAAATAATTTCTGAGGACGAGTTGGAGAAATTATGGAAGGTTCGAAGGCAAAACTTCGAGCACTTCAAAAGAATACAAGGAAAATACGTTAACATTCTAAAAGGGTTGGAGCTTCACATCGATGTATTTTCTGAGTACAAGTAGAAAAAGATAGTTGACTGCGTTTTTAGTTTAAGAGACAGGGCGTGCAGGCCATTTGAGAAAGATGACGTATCCGGAGCCCCAAAAAAGGATGAGGGGCAAGGTCAGGATCACTATTTAGTGCGGCTGCTGCTACAATTTTGTGTATTGCAAGATGTATCTCACAGATGAGTGACCACTTTGGGTTCGATCGATCGTCTCGGGCCAATCTCCCTGTCCCCGATTGTTTAGTGTGCTACAGATGTTCGCTTAGGTGATCGTAGCATCCAAAACCCCCTTTGGGATACAAGGTGAATATCCACACCTGTTAGAGCATTCAGATTGTTTTTAATCACTTAGTGAGACACATATGTTCGCTTGAGCGATCTCAGCATACTATCTCATCTTTGCATCTTACATGTGTGTCACTTAGTCTATTTAAATGACAAGTTGACTCGTTTAGAATGCATGACCCGCTTGTTGGCCATGATACTTAATCAAACATTGCTTGCGAGTATAGCTTGACGAGCAATGCGAGTTTGGGTATTACGATCAACTCGCGTATGACTGTACTAAGGTTTCAAGGGCTCTAAAGTATGTCACTTGCATGTTACAGACCTGCTTATAATGGTCCTATTTTAATAATATAAAATGGATATGTTTCTATTATGTAGTATCTGTCATTCTTTTTAAAACTATAAAAGTCATATGTGAGGCCACCCGTTTTAAAATGTTATCTTCTCAATGACATATTTTAGATACCTAGGATTTTTAAAATGAGGTCGATGTGGCGACCCCATCAAATTCATACACTTGACTATACCCCTGCACTGTGGTGGATGGTGTGCTAGGCTAGGACTAGGGTTCTAGATAGTCTTTCTCGATGACTTAACTATAGTTTTCTGCTAATTTGGTTGTTTGGTCAGGCATCACCTTTTCATATGTGGTATGAACGAGGCCTCCTGCAAAGGTATGAGCGAGGCATCCCCCGTGGCGCCAGAACTCCTCCAGCCGACAGGCGCATCGATGTGCCTTCGAATTCAGAAAAGCTAGGAGAACAAGAAGAGTCCCCTCGTTCCCTTCCAAAGAAATTGGTAAATTACACAAAGGCAAATTACACAAAGGTTATGAAAATACATTTCACATACGAACAAACAAGAAGATAAGTAATACCAACCTTCATCATCCCCTCGACAGACCTGATTGAGTCGACCCAACTGCGGCCTCTGTCGAACGAGAAAGAACCGCCTCTCCCACGAGGCCTCTTCAAAGCCATCCCCTCCCCAGCAACTCCCTCCCGAGCTGCTCCCTATCGTCGGCCAATCTTCACAGATACTCGGTCATAGTATCGACACCATCCAGACGAATCATTCATTCGATCATGTTGGGGTCGAGGTACTAAAACAAAGAGAGCATTGTCCCTCAATCAACACCTTGTGATCTCGAACATTCCCGGGCAGAGTCTTTACTTTCTTCACCCCGTACTCAAATGCGGATCCTCCATCTGCACACGAGGCAACTAGAAACTATTTCTTCACCCCGTACTCAAATGCGGATCCTCC